TTGTGGGAATTTAATCTATTACCGTTACGAAGACCCTTTTTTTAAAAGGAGCTGTGAGCAGTGGCACATTCAAGTGCTGTCCTGTGGAGATTCTGGAGGAGCTGTTTGGCCAATCTTGTCACTGCTGGGAACCACACACCTCTGAGACACAGCGGATGGGATACAGCTCTGACAAGTCTTTGGAAAGGAGAACGAGAAGATTTTTGTGACTTAATGGCCGCTGGGTTTTCTTCTGCCCCTCCAAGAAATTTGGGTATAATTTGGGCAGTGGTAGTTTGGGGTGTTTTGCCCTTATCACTTCTACAACTCTTACGGTCAACCAAAAAGTTGAAGCAAAAAGCATCTTTTTCAGTTCTGCTTATGTAAAGCTGTCTATTTACAAAGAGAGGAGTGCAAGCTATCACAAAGAAAGGCTGAATCTGAAAGAAGCAAAGCAAACCCTCAGCCCTCAAGGAGAAAGGCCATAACTGATATTAAGTCCTTTTTAACATGCTGATTAGGTTTCAAGGTGACACCTCTTTCCATACGTGCAATTGTATGTGCACAGTCACCGCTGAATAATTAATTACATGATCAATTATCAATTTCTATGTGGAGATTTTTGTTACGGTCTTATGATAGCATGGAAGGCCTTTTAAAGTTGAGGGAAACCGCAAACTTACCTGAGGGTTTAAAGTACAAACTGCTTTGTTTTACCGAAATAACTGAGAGAACAAAGCCAACAGCAGTTTCAGATTTATGGTGCAACTTGGATGCTATTGATAAATTTAAGGTAGATTAAAGAAAACACGGTGAATTAGAGAAGTTCTAGTCCTACAAAAGACACGTGTCTCGGCCTTCTGACGCCTGGGCATTACAGAGCTCCGTGAGCGAGATGCCGGCAGCGGGGAACGGGGCCAGGGAACAAGCGCCTCGGTTCAGAGCGGGGCTGTGCACGCCCACAGCTCTCTGGGCAGCTCCATTCGAGCTCCAGTGCTCGGGAGGGCCTCGGAGCTCCCATCGCAATTGCCCTGCAGAGCATGACCTGTTCCGGCCACGTCCAGACCTCACGTCTTCCCAGTCACAGCAGTCTAGAATAGAAGGACAAATTCCAGCTCTCTTTTGGACCCTCTCTACCTCCTTTCCTTCCTCATTGCCTCTCTGTGGGCCAAAAAGCCCCTCAGGTCTGCCACGTTCACCTGCCTGCCTCCCAGAGGACAGCTGCTCCCTCCTGCAAGGAGTCAACTTCCACGCTGCATCGAGGCCTCTCAGGAAGGCCCTTAATGCATACACCATAAGATACACCGGTAGTTTGCCTGAAGAGCAGAGGTTGTTCCGATCTGTACAGCCACCCCACGGGATTTCCTTCCCGCTTTGGTCGCCAGCATTCCTTCATTCAGCCTTCTAGCTCGCCGCCAACTTCCACAGAGCTGATCAGCAGTGACTCTGCAACTAAATCCCTTCCCCTCCCTGCACTAAAAAGGTACTTGCAGGTCTCCAGCGGGAGGGAAATCCTTCCGGATGACGGACATTGCCCAGGCCCCTCGTTACCCTCCTGTAGAGCACAGGTGGGTTTTTTTCTCCCAGAGGGGTATGAGGAGACTCCCGCCCTCAGTCACAGGTACTGCCCTGGGTCCCTGAGCTCTGTGGTGTAAATTCCCTGCCAGGAGTTTGCAGTCTCTGCGCTAAAGGAGTTCTTGGCTACAATGCAAGGAGGAAGCTGCAGTTGGGACAGCAGCAATCATGGTGGGCAGCAGGACCCGGAATTGGGCAACGGGAATGCCTTTGGCTACTGTCACAGCCAATCTACAGCAATCTCCATGTCACAAGTCCGGAGGTGACACTGAGAGGAACTTGCAAAGAAAAGTAGCTTTGCCACTGGTGTCAACTTTCCCCGGGGAGACGGAGCCGGCTGTGGGCCCAGTGAGGCCCGAAGCACACGGCCATGGCGCTGGGGCCCGAAGCACACGGCCATGGC